AGAGTTGGCGCACCTGCGCGACCGCTACTTGAAAGCAGTCAACGATCGCGCTGCATTGTGGCGATCGAATGGCCGCTTCGTCTGATGTCTGTCTGTTCTGTTCTTCTGCGATTAGTTTTACTTTATTCGGTGGTCTTCACGAGCGGTGCCTCTCGTTAAACGATCCGGTAAGCCAAACAATAGCCACCCGGTCGGACGACAACGCTCGAGATAACCTATAGTTTGCGGATTCGCTGCGCGAACGTACCGCCGAGGCGCACCTCGCACGCCCGGTGTGAGATTTGTTTTTCGTTAAATAACCAGCTAGCGGCTTCGCGGAGTACAGCCGGAATTCGTGAGCGCGATTCTTCGAGCACGTGTATAGGGTGTGTCGAGCGAATCGTCCAGCTGGCGAACGACAAGTGTTACGGACGTGTAATTACTCGTCGAGATATCTATTAACATGTGAGACAGTGACGTTCTCATCACCTGTACCTCTTGTCACTTTTTCTACAATTAATGGAAGAATAAATATCTTTCGAAGTCAATATTTGTTGATGTCAAGTTCTATGATCTGGAATAGATGTTCTGAACACGCGAGTATTTGTGAAATCTTGACAGTAAAGTATAATTGTGCATGTAGATACAGATGAGTGTCAATTCCATTTTTTTAAGAACTCGAGCTTCTTTCATTGTTGCATTAACATTTTTCTTTTATTGTACATGGGTTTATTTTATTAACACATATGCGAAAAATACATATTCATATATATATATATCTGTATATATATATATATATATATATCTATATAAAACATGTATTATATATAAAATATATATATGCGTATAATATAATATTAATATATTACAAAAAATTTGGTTTCATAGAATAAAATTAATTTCTTAGGTGATTTAAAAGAGATTTGTTTGCTAGTATACACATATTGAAAAATGATTAAGAAATTATGTTTCATATAAAAAGATTATTATTAATATTCAATCTTTGCACATGTGTTTTATAAACTTTTTATTATAATCAAATATCGATTATAGTTAATAGCATTTAAAGAAAATATGTAGAATATAGTTTAAAGTATATGAAAAATTACTTTGCTTATATCTAAAATATATGTTGAAGTATATATCGATTAAATTATCTCATTTAGTTTTTTTATTGTTTATGCTTTCGTCATTAATATACTTGCACTTTATTATCAATGTCTCTGATAAAGATATTAAGTGAAAACAATATTGAGCAAGTTTAATTATATAATCATAAAGAGTATTACTGTAACGATTAAGGAGTACAGAAAATTGACCTATTACTTAATACAATTAATTAGCAAAATAATTATATATCCAAGTATATCACATCATTAAATATAAAATATGAAATTAAGCATTATTATTTATGTGTAAATAAATGGGAAGACTATACTTCATTAAAATAAAATTGAATGATATATATATTTATCTTGTACTATAATAAAATGTTAAATCATAATATTATTATAATTTATAATCGTTTTTTTATGCAATGCTGATATTCTTTTCAAATTATTACAGGTTAGTTACATAGCAACAATATTAACATTAATAAACGTAATATTGAAATGGAAAAAAGTGCCGATGGATTACTGTTTCACGTTGAGAGAAATAATGGTGCCGATGAAGTAGCCATGGACATTGTTGATGAAAGAGTAGCTATTTTAGATGCAGGCGCACAATATGGGAAAGTAATAGACCGAAAGATTCGTGAATTAAATGTTCATAGTGAAATTCTGGCACTTGATACACCTGCATTTACTCTTCAGGAGAAAGGATATAAGTAAGATATACATGTTTAATACCATTATCTAATTATCATAACTGCACATACAAGAGTAGGGTTGATTTGAATTAAATTATAATTGTATTTTATATATATATATTATTATTATTTTGATCTTTTCAGAGCTATTATAATTTCTGGTGGTCCTAGTTCAGTATATGCGGAAGATGCACCTAGATATGATGCTGATATCTTCCGAATAGGAATTCCTGTATTAGGTATTTGTTATGGGATGCAGATGATGAATAAGGAGTTCGGTGGTAGTGTAACCAGGAGAGAAATTCGAGAGGATGGCCAATTTCCTGTTGAAGTTGATACCAAGTGCCTGTTATTTAAGTATGTAAATTATGTTGAAAATATCAAATAATTAAATTATTACTTATTTGTCTGCAAACTATAAAAGCCTTATGAAAAACACTCTTTATTATTAAAAAAATGCAATAAATGATGAATTGTTTGTATTAGGGGCTTGGACAAAGAGCAAATGGTACTATTAAGCCATGGAGATAGCATAGATAGGGTGGCCGACTGCTTTCGTACTACTGCCAGATCGTCAAGCTTTGTAGCCGGTATAGCGAGTGATAAAATGAATTTATATGGCGTGCAATTTCATCCAGAAGTGGATTTAACGCCTAATGGAAAATCTATGCTACATAACTTTTTATTCGGTATCGCTGGCCTTACGGGTAATTATACAATTCGCGATCGGGAAACACAGTGTATCCAATACATCAGAAATACTGTAGGCGACAAAAAAGTTTTGGTATGTAATTAATAAGTATTCTAACTCAAAACAAGATTTAAGCTCTTAAAATAACAATATTGTAGATGCAATATTGTAGATAACAAGAGAAGTATTTCATTTAAATTTATGTAAATCGTTACAGTTATTAGTGAGCGGTGGTGTGGACTCAACAGTGTGTGCAGCTTTGTTACAAAAAGCTTTAAGTAAGGAGCAAGTTATAGCTCTACATATTAATAATGGCTTCATGCGTAAAGGAGAAACGCAATTCGTGGAACAAAGTCTAGCCCAGTTGTGTGTCACGTTAAGAGTAGTAAACGCTGGTCGTTATTTCATGCAGGGAACGACGACAGTCCCATTGGACAATGTCGCACCTGTAATGAACGCCAATATTACGAATAATAAAGGAATGTGTGGTACAGCGAGTAGTCCGAGAACCAGGTTAACCAAGATGTTATGCGAAACTACTAATCCAGAGGAAAAGCGAAAAATTATAGGTGATGTTTTTATAAGAGTCGCAAACGAGGCGATGGCAGAAATGGGATTGAAGCCAGAGGACATTTTTCTTGGACAAGGCACTCTCAGGCCTGATTTAATAGAAAGTGCAAGCGCCGCAATCAGTGGTAAATCTCTATTTTTAGAATTTTTTATAAATTCCTATGTTTTCGTATTGCAAAAATATGAATTTCTTGTATTCATTTAGTTAAAGCGGATGCTATAAAGACGCATCATAACGACAGCGAACTTGTGAGAGTATTACGAACACAAGGATATGTAGTTGAACCATTGAAAGATTTCCATAAAGACGAGGTAAGACAGTTGGGATGTGATCTCGGATTACCGGCGGCGCTTGTGGCGCGTCATCCGTTCCCAGGTCCTGGACTTGCAGTACGAATCCTTTGCGCGGATGAGCCTTACATAGAGAAGGACTTTTCCGAAACACAGGTATTGCAAACGTAAAATGAAGAAAAATTAAAATTTCACAATTGTCTTTTCAATGGACCGTTAATATGAATTGTACTTGTTCCAGGTTATAGTAAAAATAATGGCCGAATACGAACAGATGCTTCAGAAAAAACATGCGTTATTAAATCGCGTGGAAGGCGCAACGAGCGAAATCGAACGCCAGCAACTCCGCAGGGTTTCGAGTCATCGTCATATCGCGGCGACTCTCTTGCCCATTCGTAGCGTAGGAGTTCAGGTATTTGAAAATTATATCACACAAGAGCCATTAATATCGAAATATTTGATTTTTAATTTTATCAGGTTATTGAAATATTTTCGAATTTTTACTTTTATAGGGTGATCGGAGAAGTTACAGCTATGTAGTAGGTTTATCGTGTGAGGAGACTGTATCCGAAGGTGTGGAGTGGGAAGATATGTTGTTCCTTGCGAAACTAATTCCACGCGTGTGTCACAATGTAAATCGTGTGTGCTACATCTTTGGACCGCAGCTTCATCATCCAATTCAAGATATCACGCCTACGTATCTCACTTCGAATGTGATAGCGACGTTACGACAGGCGGACCACTTAGCTAATCAAGTGTTAGCTTCTAATGGTTGTATGGGAACCATTAGTCAGATGCCCGTTGTTTTAATACCGATACATTTTGACCGCGACACGGCATGTCGAACATTATCATGCCAACGTTCCATCGTGCTTAGGCCGTTCTGTACTAATGATTTCATGACTGGCATGCCCGCCGTTCCTGGTAAAGATTTGCCAATACATGTAAGTTGATCTTTTCATATCTATATATACCATATATAATGATGTACAAGGTGTCCCAAAAAGGATGAATATCTTGGAAAATATAAATTTTACAGAAAAGTGTTTCAGTCAAAAGTTGTAGGGTTCAAAAAGATCTATTTACTGATTTTATCAGTTTGACCTTGGGTGGTGTCGTCAGGGTGAGAGGTCAAGGTCACATTGATTTTATTTAAATGGCATACCCTATTTTTGATTCCAGAATCTAATAGCTAGTATCAATAGCTTTTCAAAACACTACAATGAAGTTATCCTTGATTGGCGACGCCACCCAAAGTCAAACTGATAAGATTAGTAAATAGATCTTTTTGAATTCTACAACTTTTGTCTGAAACACTTTTCTGTAAAATTTATATTTTCCGAGATATTTTCAGGTGTCCCGATCTTTTTAGGACACTATATACATGCATACACTAATTTAATTGTTTCATAGGTGGTGAAAAAGATGGTAACTGAAATATCCACGGTGCCCGGAATCTCACGCGTTTTATATGACCTAACGTCTAAACCTCCGGGAACAACTGAATGGGAGTAGTAAACGCTCATCTGACCCCTTTCTATTTTTTCACCATCCCTGCGCGCGTAACGATTACAAAGCGAAAAAATATATTTAAAAAAGTATATATATATATACACACATATATATATATATATAAATATTACAAAAGAAATACACGAATTCGAGGTTGACTTCTTACTAATTTATACAAGACCGAGCAAACTTTTCCAAAGGCATACATTAAACGAGTCGTGTATTACTAGCTTCTCTAGATAAAGAACGGTATTGCGTTCAATTGAAATTAAAGATATCACATTTGCTTGTAAATAGATTTCTTATATTACACACTCATTAGTAGAAATTTAATTTATTAAATTTACGAATTTCGAATTCAATTATCGTTATTACATCTCGGATCATTACATCTGATCAACGGTACCATTATATTGTTGTTGTATTCGATCTGCATATAACGTTGAACATGTTTCACGGTTCTTCTATATGTTTTATGCCAAATGCAGTTCCCAGTTTTCGTTGTACATCTAAAAAAAAAACAGATAGATAGATAAGTACGTTTAATGTATCATATGCCGAATATTTTTATTTATCGATCATGAGCGAGTAAAGCGATATCTGTTTCTTAAAATCTGCATCGTTGTATTATTTATTATCCATTTGTTACGAAGTGAAAAGCGTCTATTATAACAAATATTTCTTTTAAAGATAGATTACCGGTACATGGTTTTCAATAGGACATGTAAATCTTCGATACGTTTCTTTTCTGGAAGCATGCTAAGAAACGCCGCTAGTGACAGGAAGTCTACTTCATTCACGACATTAGATTTAGTAACCCATGTTTGTATTTGCAGTTTTACCTATAAAAATGTCATATTTACTTTAGTTGAAGCCAAAAAATATCTTTACATAATATACGTAATTTTTTAAATAAACCGCGTATGTATATTATTTGATAAAAAAGTTATGTAAAGATAAAATAAGAGAAAAAAGAGAAAGATAACAAATTCTTCATTCCAAACTATGCTTATCGATAAAGAGAGAGGATTTTATTTGATTTTCTGTTGAAGATTAGATAAAGTCTCAGATGCATTATATGTATAAATTTTGACGGTAATTTAATAGGGCATTTCAAATTCTGTTAAATTAATTCAATTTCTTTTCCTATCCACTTTACTTATTTAATATAGTATATGAAAAGTTGAAAGTTTTTTTATTAATATTTATTTCGATATTCACGTATAAAGTATGTTAACAATTCATATCATGTTTGTGTTGAAACTAGAATTAAGTTTTCTCAAAGTCATGTTCCGAACGTACAATAAGGATAAATTTGAAACTGAAAATACTAAAATATAAAATTACGCGCAACGTACTGTGATAAGCTAATAATTATCATGAAATATTGCTAACACACTTTTTTTTGTCATCAGACTTGTATCTTCCATAACTTTACTCGTTACTGTGCCAATGTCACAGTTACCATGTAATGTTCGGTATGATGGTCATGTTCATGACGTTAACATATATTTTACAACTGCTAATTCTATACAGATCGGGGGATCTGAACACCAATGCATTAACTATTCACAGATAAGACATCACATCTTAACAAATAGAATTCACCATTTTTTGTAAAAATGATCTGATAAATATATACGTATAGGGGAAAAAATAGGTATCTCTGATGCATCTAATATGTCAATATTATGGCAATAACAGGTAAACAATTTGTATTGTTAAGAAATAATTTTATACAATATTTAATATTAATTGGAATTGCGACAGTTACGTGCACCAGATCTCAAAAATAGAATGCTAGAACTCAGTTCCTATTTAATAATTTGTCTTAATAAAATAATTTATGTGGTACCTGTTGTAATGGAAGGGTGAAGAGATGATTCACAAGATTAATCAACATTTCCTGATGTTTATCTACGTTCTCATTGTTATGTAAAATACTTAAATTCTGTAAAATAAAGGTATCGGCTTTATCTATCGTAACATTATTGTATGAACTATCAACGTGATCGATTTGATTCGATGTAGATGTTGCTTCGACAGCATCTTTTTCATACAGTTGATCCTTTTCATGCATTGCGTTCTTTTCTAGTATACGTTTGGCTTCATCTATACAAGTGCTATTTACATTAGGTATTGCGTTCTCTTTATTTCTATAATTATCACTGATCTTTAAAGAGGCATCCGTTTCTTTCAATTGCTCACTATCGCTTTTTTTATTTATTTCGTTCAAATTAACTTTATTCGCTTCTCTTTTCATATCACAGTACATCTGCACATCGCGTTGCACATCGGGATGCAAATCGTCTTTCATTAAAGCTGATAAAACATCCGGATCAACTTGCGAACAATTCTGTACATTTGAAGTTTCTTCGTCATGCAAAACTTGATTTACCCGATCCGTATTCATACTAGCTTGTTTCTTATTTCTTTTAAATTCGTCAAATATCTCATTTCTTATATCTGCGGGCAATTCGATTAACACGGACATATCGATATCTTGTATTCGTGGTATATCATATTTCGATGATCTTCCGCTATTCGGTTTTACTTGTTTAAAGAAATTCTCTTGAGACGTCTGCTTTTGCATTGCTTTCTTATTGGATTTTCCAAATAAATCCTTCACTTTAGTAATATTTTCATTTATCTTAGGATTGTGTAACTTGTTATTCTTTGATTTAGTTGCTATCACCGACGGTTCGACTGGCATTGTTATACCGATTGATTCAGAAGATTTTACCAATTTCAACGGCAAATTACTAATTTCTGTATCACAATTTTCTTTTATTGCTGTTGACGGTTCTGTTGAAGGCACTTTAGAGCAATCCGGTTTAGATTTCTCGACTGAGATACAATCTTCATTATCATCTCCCAACATTTTATCACACGGTTGTTGTATTTTTTTCGTTTTATTAAAGAAGTTGATTAAACTACTTTTAGCTTGCTTAGTCTTACATATTTCTAATCTGGATATTTGTATTCCAATTCCTCTCATATCTTCGGGTATTAAATCCAACTGATTCCAAATACTTATAACTTCCCTAGATCATAAAACATGTATTTATTTCGCAAAACATATATTTAAAAAAAGTATAAAATATATACAAGATTGATAGATCAATAGTAAAAACTTACTTTTTGATGATACTAATATCGTCAACAGCTGCTATAAGATTTTTCGATTTTGTTATATAATTGCAAAGACCATGACCCATGAACTTTGCGGTTTCCTTGGGTGCTTCCTCAGCTCTGATCATCAATTTTAGCGTGATGCATCTACCTTTTGCACGAGCTGCTGTCAATCGATTACACACCTCCACAGATAATTCACTCAAAAAATCGATAGCATCGCCATTATTCTGAAATCTTATGCCATAATTAACTTCCGCCGATACAGATTTTCGAACATATTCCAGATTCAGCTTTGTGTCGTCTAATCCACGGCACATCTTGTATAACTGCTCTCCCAACTTTTTACCAAATTCTTTTTGCAACACTCTCAACGAGATCTTCTGCAAATCTTCACATATATGAACATTCATTTTATGTAACTTATAAGTCGTTGTTCCGCCAACTCCTATAAATAAAAAATTAAACGAATTAAATCTTAATTTTAATAAAGATAATGAAATGTGATTGAAAAAAAATTAAAGCCAAGTGCTTATACTTATTACAATCGATTAACATAGATTTTTTAAAATATAATTAACCATTACAAAATAATGTAAATGAATTGATCGCTCAAAAGTACCTGATAAATCTCTTATATTAAAAGTTTGAATATATGTCTCTGTATTCTTATCGTTGAGATAAAACTGATTATCAGGTTTAGCTTTTCGCGTCGCCAATCTCGCTTGTAACTTGTTATTACCAAATCCCGTGGATACCGGACAATCTGTTTTCTGCTTTATTTCATTCCTAATTATAGTAGCAAACTCTAATGGTGAAAGTCCAGATGCTTCAAGAATTTTCGTACAATCAACATACATTTCGTCGCAGCTTACTGCTTCGATATCTAAAGTGTAAGATGCCACGGTGTCATACAGTGTGTACGAAACTTCTTTGTAACCCTCGAAATCGTACTGAATTGTCTTCAAATTTGGACACAGTTTTAACGCCTCTCCCAGAAACATGCCATTCTTCACGCCAGCCTTTCTTGCTGCGTACGAGCACGAAGCTACTTCTGACATCGATCCAAACTCTTCCTTGCCGTCGTAATTCGCTGAAAACTTGTTGCCTTTTGCGTGCGTTACCGCTATCGGTACACTTTGCAATTCCGGTTTATTTCTGATTCCCACCGATACAAAAAAGCAATCCATGTCAATATGCATTATAATAGGTTTTTGCTTATGGTTCACTTTACCTGTAACTTTATCTGTAAAACAAATTGTCTCATCTTCGGATTCTGATTCGCAAGTAACTGAAGTTGATGCATTCTTGGTGTTTTTTAATTTTATTAAACGTTCAAGACCGGAAAAAATTCCGTCGCTTTTATCTCTTAACTCGTTCACATAATCTTTAAACATAGTTCCCATGGTAGAAATATAATGCAATCTCGAGTTACTGTAAAACGTTGACAGAAACTCAGCATCCCTTGTAGACTGCGCACTTATTTTTGTATTTGAAGATTGACAAGAGTTGTTTGAGTCTTGTTTCAATGCATCCTTACACACATCGTGTTTTGATATATTTTTATTATTTATATCTGTTTCTTTGCAAACAGTGTTTGCTGAAGCTTCAGGCTTCTCAATATTCTGTTTATTGTGCATGATTAAACTAGCATTATCTTTATTATTTAATTTATATACCAACTGAGGCTGTAAATTAGTACTATTAGAATAAAGTAAATAATTTTGAAAATTCAAAATCTTTCCAGCTGCTATGCTATCAATGATCCATTGTGGTTTGCAGATAGGAATTGGATTCTGACTTTTTCTATATAACACTATTTTAGAGTATGGCAGATTAGATGCTATGATATGAGTCGTGATTTTAGGATGCATATAATGATGATATATTCCTCCATGCATCATCATTAGACGTCTCAACTCATCCGATGTTGGATTTGTATAACCATTAACAAATATTGCAATTCCTTCAAACAGTTTCGATGATTCTTTAAACTCTTTGCTGGCTGTATCGCGAAACTGTTCCTCCAATTTAGCTTTCTTTGCAGCCATATAACCGCCCTGACAAATATTAAAAAATTATACTTATTACAAAATAATTCGAAAATAGATAAATATAATAATAAAAATTAATAATTTAATATTACATATATATAATATACTCACCCAATCTTCGAAACCATTTTCTCCCCAATCATGATCTCTTTTTTTCTTTGACATAATTATACTAATTTATACAAATTTCTTGATAATTATCATAAAACAGGTGTATACTGAAATGAAAAGAATTAATAAAAAATGGTTTAATTATGTAAAACTAGAACTTCTTCAGAATTTTTTAAATTTTAATTAGCTTATTTCTTCTCTTATAAGATTAATAAGAGAATTAATATAGTCGCATATTTTTATATAGCTCTAATTATTTAATTGATATAGACTAGACATTTAATTATTAATAAATACCTAATCGAATTGATCTTCGTACGAGGGCAACAGCCATAAAAAAAAATATATATACGTATAAAATAAGAACTATAAATATATATATATATATACACAAATATAAATATATAAGAAAAAATATTGACAGCAAAGTGTTTATAACCTTAAAGAAAACTACATCACAAATATAACTCCATCTCGAAACTTAAATCGACAATGTTTAATTTATCACAATTGCATTGATTGTTAATTCGTATAATAATTTACACGATGAAGTGAATTTCATTTTTAAATATTTGTGTGACATGATAAGCGATGAGTCTATTATTCTTTGCCGCCAAAAGTGTTGCGTGTATTGTGCAAGGCAAAGGCATAGAAGGCCTGTTCTTTTTGGCTGAACTTTTGCACCAGTTCATCTTTCTTCCTCTTCTTTCCTGCTGGAGAGAAAAGGAAGAAAGGTGAACTAGTGCAAAAGTTCAGCCAAAAAAAACAGGCCTAAAGATGGACTGTGCGATCCGTGTGTAAAAATGGTCGATAAGTATGAGAGAGAAGGACCGTGGCAGACGGCCATTTCTATCTCTTTCCATTCAATGGTGTAATGGGAG